CTGGCACTTGGCCTCTGCCCTGGATGAGAGAAATTCCACTGGATTTGCCCAGGTGAATCTAAACAGATGTAATTAAAGCAGAGAACATCCCAAATGGAGATGTGCCTGGATGCTTGCACCTGGCTGTGGTAATTGCCAGCAGGAGATCAACCAGTTTACATGAGGTTTACAGTGGTCTGAGTCTGCTAACGAGGCAGCAGAATCATCTGATTGAAAGTGGTTTGAAGTTGTCCCTGATAATTTGGAGAAAAAATGCAGCATGCTCTACATTTTAAAAGTTTTGCCAATCAGGAGCATTACAAATATCCTTTCCTTCCCTCTCCCATCCCTGTAAACAGAGCAGAAGTCTGCATGGCCTTTTGCTGGCAGTGGCTAAACCATTCAGGGAACTGATTTCATTTCAAAGGTGTTTCTAAGCTTGTACAGGCTTGTCTCCTCCTGTGATGCTGAGAGACATGTTTAGATGTTGGCACAGCTATTCTGGGAACGTTTTCAGGTGTAGACAAACTTCACATCTCCACCTCAAAGGAATCAAAGCCAAAACGTCAGTTTCCCGTGAGCAACATGCTGGTTTAAGCAGGCACCAGACAGAGATTTAACAGGCTGTTGCCTCTGAAAGGTGGTGTCAGTTCATGAACATTGCTGAACCAGCCATGGAGAATGTAGCTTGATGAGAGGCCGCGCTTGCAGCGTCACACGTGCCCTCGTGCCGAGCGGGAAGCCCAGCACAGCCCCGTAACGGCAGCGTTTCTGCACCCGGGGAAAGCAGCGAAACGAATACAGCTCCAGGCTTGGGAGGTTGGAGGCACCAGGCGCTTCACCCAGTGGGTGGGGGTGGCAACTGTGGACATCTGGTTGCATAGTTTGCTAAAATCTAAATGTGTGCAGCGCCTGAAACCGTCCAGTCTGATTCATCTCACCCTCATTGCACGAGCAAGCTCACTGGGATAGTGAGGCTCTGGTACTGCTACCCCTTATCTTTCCATTGACGCTCATATGAAAACTGACATTTCTAATTTTAGCCAAAATAAAAGTACAATCAAATAGGTTTATCCCTCATGGATGTGCTTAAAAATTCAAGACTATGTCCTAAGTGGATTCCAAAAGGCCATAATTGATGAGCAGACAGAAAGAAATCGCCGCTCTATTGATTGACAGAAATTTCTCTTTTTTTAAGCCAATCTCATACTTCTGGGGTTTCACTAATCTTTTTCAAACATGTGGAAGTCAAATTACTGGAAATTACATTTTCTGCACAATTTCTGTGGCTTTTTTTCGTTGTTTATTTGGGGTTTTTTCCTCTTTCTTTCCTCCTTTGGCAATTTCTGGAACATCAACCAGGGCTGGTCTCACCAAAATTCAGGAGTATTTGAGTGCCTCATCTGATTTGGCTTTAAGGTAAGCTGATTTGCCCTCAGGCAGCTTTTTTTCTCTCCTGTTTGGTGGGAGAGCCCCAAATGAGTGCTCTCACACACCTCACCTCAACACATCTAAGATGCCGTTGCAGAAAGGCAGAGTACAGCTCCTCTGACATGGTAATTAGAGAAATGAGGTACATTTGTGGTGTTCTGGGAAAAGAGTGTGTAAAAGTGAAGGATATCTTTTCTTCCCATGGTTGTATGTTACATGGTTAAAATCTGTGCATGTGTGTGTATGTAAGGCCATCATAGTGATTTCTTTGCTTTTCTTTCTCTGCAGTTCCAGTGTATTTCCTCTTGGGGCTTGTCTCTCCTGTTTTAATTGGCTTCAGCATTTTCAAGCTGCCTAGTCATTTGTGATGATTCTTTAGCCAATACCAAGTGGTTTAATATGCCTGAAAATACTCGCTTCCTTCCTGACTGACCTTTCTCACTTAACTGGAAACAGCAATTCCCTGGAGTGCTGGGATAGACAGAATTAATACTTCTGCTTTTGCTGAGCTGCGTGTTCCCACACCCTCCCA